GATAGTTGACGTATATTGTACCACCCATGTACAGGGCAGTCCCAGCCCGAGAAGATAAATGTAAACGTTTGGAGATGATCGATGCTCTTGGAGACTTGCCATCTCTCAGAGCCCAGCGCTGTAATAACTCTGCATCTAACCAGAAGAAAATAAATCTACTTAAAGCTGATTTCTGTATCCTGAGTGTTACTTCTTGGGGCCTTCAGACAAAAGAACCGGGTTAAAATTAAAAACATTAAACACAAATAAATATATATTTGTTCTATTTAACAAATGTAGATCTGACAGCTAATTACTTTGAAAGAAAAATTAAATACACAAATATTCACATTCCATCTATTTATGCAACTTTTTAGGTTGAAATAAAACCTTTTAAAATGGTGTTAAATTATAACACAATTTAACAGTAAGACATTCTCACAGTTTAGTCTGATGAGAGCAGGAGTATTTAACCCAAAGGTTACGGCCACATCATTATGATAACAGTTGACAGTTGATGATTAACTTGTTGTTAAACACCAATTAATGCTGATTCAAATGCCACAAATTTAAAGTATAAGATGAACAGAATTTTAAAAGATCAGGTCTTACCTGTGGTACCTGGCTAGAGGAAACAAAACGAGACACACTTCCTGGACTAACAGATATGGACGGTTGTATCTGTGTGGCCAGGGTGATTTCTGGTTAAATTATAACCAGTGCTACCTTCTGTCAGTCGCTGTCTACGTGATAAGGCTGTAAAAGTAACAAACACCACTGCAGATTACATTTAAAGGAGCACGTTAAAAGGGAAGTGTGATGTGTTTTGTATGGAAGCCCGGTGATGCCATGCAAAAAAAAACAACTCACCCTATAATTATGACTATGATTAAATAAAACAAATAAATAAAGTTCAATAAATAGAACATGTCCTCACAGTGGCCAGTGGAACCATGTGCAGCTACAGTAAAGGCCTCCTGATGATAAACAGAGGTGGTGCCACCACGTCCGACATAATTCATTCCTTACACTTTTTAAATATTTTTCAGTCTGAAAAAGTTGCTAAACATGCTCATATGTTTATTTTGGAAGGAAATAAACTATTTTCTTCTTCAGACTGAAGGACTTGCTGGTTTCTGCAGATTAAAATAATTATGTTAAATTTAAGGAGCCGTGTAGAGTTTCAGTTTCAGGAGCAGGCCACCATATTAAGAGTGTGATTCTTCCAACTCCTCCTCTTGTACCATGAACATATGAAGTTACTAAGAACATGACTTTTAGGGGCTTTAAAAGCTCTGTCAGCTGTTACCCAGTCCAGACAAAAGGTCAGATAAAATGTTAACACTCAAACAGAGACCTCATCCACTCAGTGTAGGACAACCTGATGAATTTTAAGTCTGACATTTGCAAGATGCACTTTTCCATATGCCCTCCTTCATTAAATGGTTTATTTTTCATTACAAGATGAAGACCGGGTCACATGTTGTTTTTCTGACATTAAATATCTCAGGGTGAGCTTTAGCTCTGTGGTCACAAAGAACCCTCATCTACACAGGATTATTTCCCTGTGTCTTCATAGGTCTGTGGCAAAGTCTTTCCTGTTTGTTGATCTCATCACCACTTACCAGTTACTGGGAAAACATTCACTGCCTGGTTCTGAGATAACACACTGTGGTCTGACCAAACGGAGGACTCTCTGATATAAAGTGTTGGCTCAACATTTTGGGGAAAAACTGGAGGAGGGATGTTGTTAGCTTAGCTTAGCAGTAAAGATTGGATGCAGAGTGGAAACAGCTAGACTGGCTCTGACTAGCATCTCTACATTCAAGTCAAGCCAATTTTATTTACGTCACAAATTTGTCCACTAGACTTTTGATGCTAAAGGAAGAAATCCCAACAAAAGGAAATAGACGATATGAGGAACACTGGCAACACTGGCACGATGAATCTCTTTATTCATAAACAGAGACTGAGTCACAGGGTGTCACACTACACAAACAGAAGGGTCCTTCGTAAAGGAACGCCACCCTAGATAAACCAATAATGACACCAACATTCACCCAACCAGTAGAAAAATAACCCAATATAAACACTGCAATCAGACAAGACTGGTTTAGGTACCTGTGGGTCCCCCCACTCTGCTGCAGGACATTACAACACAAACCCTACAGGTTTCCAATATCGCTGCTGTTCCTGTTGATGTGAATGAGTCAAACCAGAAGTGGTTTCAGGTCGTCTAGACTCAGGAGGAAACCAGATCTGCACCACAAAGAGTTTCACATCCAGCTGAGCTTGTGTATGAATGTAGCCTGACAGGAAGCTCATTAGCACAGAGATACTGGGGAGGGGGGGGGGGGGGGGGACAATAAAGGGTTATTGACACATTTCTCTCTGTCCTCTCTCTTCTTTGTGTCTCTGCCTCTCGTCCCCTCGGGGGTCGGCCAGTTCCGTCCTTTCTCGTCTCCCTCCCTTCAAGTCTTTCTTTCTTTCTCCTCATCCGTCCACACTTTATTTCTTCTGGCAGATGTGAAGTCTTGTCTTTGCCACCGCTGATGATGATGACTTTGAGGATGATGAAGAGGAAGAAGATGGAGCAAATCTGGATTTTGCCACTGCTGCCATCAGTGATGATGAAGAAGATGATGAAGATGAGGGCTTGGTGCTTCGCTCTTTCAGCATTTGGCAGCTGAGTCCTTCCCCACATGGGCAGCGCTGGAACAGCTCCAGGCCTTGGCTCCCTTTCCGGCGGTGTCGCGTGCAAACCTGTCCCTCGTGCAACACCGGCTTGCAGATGCGGGTCCAGAAGTGACGGGCGCAGCATAAATGAGCCGAACAGTCAGAGGAGCGCAGGCAGGGGTCCCCCACCTGACCTGGAAACACAAAGATGTAAAGGAAGCAGCAGCAGGATGTCACCCAGCCTCCTCTCAAATTCTGACACTTTGTTTGGCACCTTTTGAGTCTGTTTGAATACACATTGAATTGCTCTTGAATCGATGAGAGTTTCAGGCCAAGCCCACAACGTTTGTGTAAACCTGACCAAGTAGTTTTTGTGCTGGCACCTCATACTGACATGAATGGGTTAACACCGCCCTCTATTGAGAACCCAGTGCGTCTCAGGTTTATGCCAAAGGGTGCCTGACACAGTGTCAGCATTTGACGGCCTGGGAAGAGAACGCCTTGCTAACACCTGAGCCGAAACCAAAAAGTCACGTTTGAGGTGTAAAACACAAGCTGCACCATTTTAAAGATGTTTCAAGCCAAGTTTGATATTTTGTAGCTAAAATGGCTTTGAAACACTGAATGCCATAGTAGTGGTGGTACAGATAAACACAACAGCCAGTTAATAATCACTAATAGTAAAGACCAGACACTGACCTTACACCATGTAGGACCACAGCATGTCCCTGGAGCTTTATTAGAGTAGTGCACCAACAGTTAAACAGAACAAATGCTCACCTTTGCTGTGGACACCTCTGACGTTCATCCTCGCCCTCTTCCTCCATCCTTTCTCCTTGGACGGTGGACTCCTCCCTTCCTCTGAGTGCAGGATCCTCTGAGCCACATCAGGAACACAGATATCTGAAGCAGAAGGGGAAGAATGAAGGATTTACAATCAGAACAAATACTTATGGAGCTGTTATTTTACAAGTACATATTGTTTGAATAATGTTTATACATTATTTCTAGAAAGGTGTAAGGATCGTTCACCGACACCACAAATGACAGAAACACTTTCAGGTTAATCTTACTCTTGCTGCAGCGGTTGCCTGGGCAACACATGCCATCCCTCTGGCAACGCTTCTTCCTCTTGCGGCAGGTGCGGCAGCGGGAGTGGGCAGTGCCTTTCATGGAGACGTGGCAGAAACTCCCCTCGCTGCACTCCAGGTCGCTCATGCACTGGTAGAGCTGCAGGAAGACACATTATGATACGAACTGAGCAGCGACAGCAGCACTTAACAGTCCGGTGGATACAGTGAGACTCAGGGTCTCACGTGGTCATCGAGTCATTCTGGTAAATGGTCTTATACTTTCATTTGGCCACTCACACACCGGTGACATCACAGGCAGCAACTGGGCGTTCAGTGCCTTGCTCAAGGACACATGCACACATGAACTGGAGAAGCTGGGAATCGAACCACCAACCTTCTGGTTAGGAGACAACCTGCTCTACCTCCTGATCCACAGCCTCGTACTCCACTACGTTTACTTGTAACCTCAGTTACTAGTTATTTCTCAGAAACAGATGAAATGTACAGAACACAGTAAGTGACTTTAATGATCCCTGGTAGTAAATTCACAAAATACCCTGCAGTACTTCAAATTATAAGTATCTACGGTAAGATGAGCCCCCCCCCTTACCAGCTGAAACATGATGGACACAATAATTACAGTTGAACAATATGATATACATTAATGTAACATGTGCTAATCTGCATGATGAGTACTTTTACTTTTAGTAGTTTAGTATATTTTGATGCCAGTACATTTGTACTTTTACTTGTAACAGAGTAATTTTACATTGTGGTATTGTTACAGTTTGAGTTTCACCACTGGACCATGAATACTTTTACTTGTAGTGGTAACGGAGTATTTTATAGTGGTAACGGTACTTTATTCGACCCAGCAACTCACCGTTAAGTCCAGACTAGGCCCCCATGCGCTCCGGTTCACCGGAAGTGCGTGTCCCTCGCTCAGGATCACGGTGCTGATGGAGTTCAGTCTGACACGCGCGTCCCCGCGTCGTGAACACGCCGACAGGACGAGGCCGAAACTCACCATGAACAGCACCAGAGGGGCCATGATGCTGCTGGGAAATCAGATGCTGGTTAAAGTGTGCGCACAGCTTGGCGTGCACTTCACAGTAATAATGGAGCTGACTGACGGAGCGACCATCTCCAACAGTGAGGTCAAGTCAGGCTATTCGACCTTAAACTGACATTTACGCACTTTTCTCACAGAAACGGAACATTTTGTAAAACCCGAAGGTTCTTTAAACAACATCCTCAGTCAGTAAAGTCCTTCCTACCTACTTACCTACCTACCTTTTTACCTACCTACCTACCTTCTTACCTACCTACCTACCTTCTTACCTACCTACCTACCTTCTTACCTACCTATCTTAGTCAGAAACAGCCAACACTGTCAGGCTGCACCTTTATTTTAAATGCACCATTTCAGTTTCAGATTCATTCATTCATTCATTTTCTACCGCTTAGTCCCTGAACGGGGTCACGGGTTCAGTTTCAGATCTGCTCATGAATTTCAAACTACTATTAAATTCTGTTAGAAGCTAAAAGAAAAGCCACGGTTTACGTTAATGACGCCCAGTGTCCTTTTAAACAGCCAATCAAAACTAAACCTACCTCGTACCTGTGGCTTGCGGAGTCAGGTTCTTGTCCGGAACCTTTACAGTGGAGCCAAATGAATCCGGATTCAGTGTCGTGTTAAATTCTCCATCTCTCTCAGGGTTTTCTGGGTGGGGTGGTTGGTTGGTTGGGGGGGGGGGGGGGGTGATAAAGACAATGTGCTTTTTAACCTTAACGTCTCACATTTGAACATGTGGTGCAAACAAACAAAGCAACAGCTCAACTGTGGAAAACTCCGTTTAAAACAAGCTGAAATGTTTTAAACTCATTTTACTGGAACAAGTGTCAGTGAGACAGACACTAACGTGGCCAGTGCACAAGGTTTCTGGACTAGTTATTATCCTATAGGACCTACCGCCTGTCAGCTGGGAACAAAACCCCTGTTTGAACCTTTGTTCACAAACGTACCTGAGGTATTATGTTATTGTGAGGTTCAAATGAGAAATTCTGAGTTCATTCATATATATTTAAGTTAAAATATATATTTAGTGTTTAAGGGTTAAATATTTGTGGGTTATAAGTTAATACATTTACAAGAACAAGTATTTTTTAACAGCAACGTTTCAAATGTTTAAAATCACCTGCAGAATCTATCTTTGTAGTTTTCTTGCATTTACTTGTGTTATTCTGTTTCTCACATTTGCCTTTAGATAAATTGTATGATGTCGGTGTCATGTTTAGGCCGTTCACACTGATTTCATTGTGTGAGCAGTGAAACCAAATATTCACCCTCACTGTCTAAAAAGAAAGGAGCGAGGCCTTCACCTGTTCACCTGTTCACCTGGAGAACCTTATGTGGTGAAAAGATAAAGAAAACAAACTGCAAACAGGCAGAAAAGGCACAAAAACAGGAAGGAGAAAAGTCAGAGAAACTCAAAAAGCAATTCAGCCCCATTAGAGAATGGAAATACTGAAGTACAAATATCTCAAAATAAAAGTGTAAACGGAGCCGTTACAAACTTATAACTTTATAAAAAAAGAAGCATTGCTGTAGTTTTCCCAACAATGAAACATTTTAACATTTAAACCTTTGTAAATGTCGTTGCTGAGCTGCTGTACAGTAAATACCTGAACACCACCAGACTTAAAAAGACTGGCCTGTCCTGTAATATTGGGCTTTTTGTTTGTTCATGCACCTAATCCCTGTTACAACATGGAATGATGCTGTTCATGCTGGTTGCACATCATTTTGTTCAATAAACACATGGAAAACATATTTAAACACAGGAGAATCCATCTCCTCTAACTGCCTCGTTTCCTCTCTTCCGTCTCACATCCTAGTCCCGCCCTAGGATGCGAGGAGATGTAAGGAGAAGCAGTTAGAGGAGAGGGACCAGGCAGGAAACCTGAAGCTTTCCATTAACCTGCATGTGGAGAGAAAACACCGAGGTCGTGTTGTTCGACTTGGTTTGTTTCGTTTCCTCCTGTTGCTCCACCCTCCTGTAAGCGGAGGAAACACCGAGGTGAGTTTCAATTCAATATTCTTCCTCTAATTATTATTACTATATATGGCGGAATATGAGGACTTATGGGACAACCGTTTTTTTTTTACCGGAACATCGCGGTTATCACCACGTTTCCACAAAGTGTGACCCGCTTCCCGCGGTTTTTATTCTATAGCTAAAGAAACAGGTTGAACAGTCGAGTTCCTCTGTGACACGTTTCATTTCCTCATTAGTCACGATGCTCCTTATCTGATCAGTCAGTAATCGATGAGGGGACAAAGAGATCGATGACTGACCCCCAGGGAAAACCCGCCCGTCTCTGAAACGTTTACTGCATCAGGATCAAATGAAAACCCGTGTGAAGAGTCAGACCCCTGAATCCGGTTCCTGAGTGAAAAGACGTTTACTTTTGTTACTTCAACTAAAGTTTGCTGCTAATACTTTTAGACATTTACTTGTAGCAGAGTATTTTCACACAGTATTCCTACTTTTACTCCCAACAGTACACTGTGCTTTATTTGTTGTTTGAAATAGGTTTGAACCTACTAAGTCACTACAGCTGTCAGGTAGATGTAGGCAGTACCAAGTAAATGTGGACAGAACTGTAGTGACAGTCACAGTAGTTTCTCTGGATTTGTGTTGTACTGCCATTTTAAAAACAAGAAGCACAAAGCGACTAATGTCCGACTACTGCTTCACTGACCTCTACCACAGTCCCAGACTGTACACGCTGCACAGCTGTTATTGACCTTAGGGTTAGATGCTAAACTGCATTTCGTTGCCTTGTACATGGGCAATGACAAAGTTGAATCTAATCTAAACCTGCAACCATGTGTCCAGACACGCTGCAGGGAGGTCATATTCATTTCAGGCGGGGGGGGGGGGTTCCCCACTTCAGCACTTTCTAAATGAAATGTTTCAGTTTTATAAAGATTTTTTCCTTTGGTGCCGCTGAGAAAGCAGTGAACTTTCTTTATTGTGGAACGGCTCTGAAATAAAAATCATTTTGCTCAGTTCAGAGATTAATTACCAGTGACTTACTTTGTTCAGGTTTTACTCTTCTCTCTGATGTTAAAGCACTGGTCCCCCCCCCACAACCAAACATGGTAACACTAGTGATCAGTCAGACGATCAGAGGCAGCTGAGTCACCACAGAGTCACCAGTGGAGGAACGTCTGCTGCTCCTGATTCATGCACCAGTGTGGAACATTTGTAACTTGTATAGAAGTTAGAACCCAAATGCAGGACCGGGGACACAGAGAGGATGCTTGGGCTTTGTACAATCAAAGGAAATGGGTCGCACAGTCTGCAGAGACCGACAGCAGGAAACCAGAGAACACAGAGCGCGGACAACATCGAGCTAAACATAAAATAACTGAACAGACAAGAGTCCAAATTAAAAACCAGACCAACACAGACCAGAGACTGGGGGGGAACTGGAGTCCAGCACAACAACGGCCACAGGTAAACAAAAGGAGCATACAGGAATCCAGGAGGGGAACAGGACGAGGTACCGGACCACACAGTCTGGCACTGCGGTCTAAATACAGACTGATTACCAGATGCATGAACTGTGCCATAACAGGAAGTACTGGCGCCTCCTGACATCATTAGCACTGGGCAGCTCTGCTCTTGGTCAGCGCCACCAATAAACTTGTTCTGGTAAAATTAGGGCCGTGTGTAGATCGCAGAAAAAAAATGCAGCCAGAATGATGCAGTGTTTCTGCGTCTACCTGGAGAACATCATGATGAAAAATCAAAGAGCCGCTGAGCCAGAAACAGGCATGTTGAGTTAAAACAGGGTCTGAACAGACCGACAAAACAGTGAGGACAGGGTGTACAAGATCTGCTGCTGAATGTGCTGAGTGCAGGATGTGAAACTGCACGAAACCAGGTGCTGTGCGAAGCAGGAAACAGAGCAATTCTGCTGCGGAGGCAGGAAACTGTGCTGCAAGAAATAGTCGATGGCCAGTGCCACAGCAGACCGGAGGCGATGTGAGTGCCTGTACAGAGTGCAGCTGTAAACACTGAGCTGTTTGAAATCCTCACACTGCTGTGTGGTTGTGGTTCTGAGGCACGAGCTATTTTGAAGGAAACCAAGGAGCAACTACTGATTATGTTGGTCTGTGTGTCTGTAGTGTTACCATTTTACTTCCCAGGCTGTCCGAAGCCTGAAAGATGACTGACTGTTTGGAGAAAGCGGAGGACCAAGCGGAGCCTCCAGAACCCATGTACGAGTCTCTGAAGAGTGCCTGGTCCATGGGACAGCCTCCAGACATCAGTAGTGGACCTGCAGTTCCTTTGGACACAGAGTAAGATGACAGTTCACACGGCGGTTTAACAGGGTCAATGCAGTAAACAATGCAGACAGACAAAGGATCAGCCACTGATTGGCTGACGTTAGGGAGAGTGAGACAGCAGGAGGTCTCCTACAAAATAAGAGCCCCTAGCCAGAAGTCGGGGGTAGAACATGACAATATATATCTTACCGTCTGGACACTATGGGTAGAACCTGTTCTTTGTTAAAAATTTGTAGTGAGAAATAAGTGTTTTATTTCCACAGATGGAGCAGGAGGTGTGGAGGTGGTGCTGAGGGGAAGCAAAGTCAGACGAGCGCTGCAGAAAGTAAGGCCAGATGTTTGAAGCAGCATGACTGTTACAAGTTGTACTTAAAAGCTCTGTTGGGCCCTGGGGACACTGCAAACTGATAGGTATTCTTTTGTGTGTCCTGTTTAATGACAGTACCAAAACCTAGCTATATACTAGCAACATCTTTAGCTAGCAAGCTAATATAACACACAAAATAATAATGTGTGGTCTGAGAGTGTGAAATGCTACAGGGCTTCTACAGATACCACAAGAACTGACAACTTTGTCTTGTTTTTATGTTGCCGGTGAAAATAGTCACCATGTTCCCAGATACTTCTCCTTTAGACTCACTGTTGATGTGAACATGTGACTGAAGGAACTGATGGAACAGGAAGTGAAACCCTCCTCAACAGGATCTACACTGAGCTCTACATCACAGAGGGACACAGTGAAGAGGTCAATACCCAACATGAGGTGAGGCAGCTTGAGACCACTTCCAAGAAGAAGACCCTCCAGGACATTCCAATCAAGTGCCACCAGATCTTTAAAGCCTTCCCCGACCGACAGGGACACATCAGAGCAGTCCTGACAAGCGGCGTTGCCGGCGTTGGTAAAACCTTCTCGGTGCAGAAGTTCACTCTGGACTGGGCAGAGGGCTTGGAAAACCAAGATGTCAGCCTGCTGGTTCTGCTCTCGTTCAGGGAGCTGAACCTGATCAGACATGAGCAGCACAGTCTTCTCACGCTGCTCCATGTTTTCCATCCAACCTTACAGAAGGTCACAGCAGAGGAGCTGGCTGTCTGTAAAGCTCTGTTCATCTTTGACGGCCTGGAAGAAAGCAGACTTTCACTGGATTTCAGCAGCAGGGAGGTTGTGTCCGATGTCACCCAGGAGTCCTCGGTCAGCGTGCTGGTGACAAACCTCATTCAGGGGAACCTTCTTCCCTCGGCTCTCGTCTGGATCACTTCTCGACCAGCAGTGGCCAATCAGATCCCTCCGCTCCTGCTGGCTCAGACCAAGAGGAAGAAACACAAGTACGGTGAGGGACATGGGACAAGTCCACTGGAGCTGACGGGGGCTGACAGGAAAGTTCTTCTGAAGCTAGGGAGGCTGGCGTTTGAACATCTGGACAAAGGAAACATCACGTTCTACCAAGAAGACCTGGAGCGGTGTGGTCTGGATGTCTCAGAGGCCTTGGTGTATTCAGGACTTTGTACAGAGATCTTCAAAAGAGAGCAGGTGATCTTTCAGAAATCAGTCTACTGCTTTGTTCATCTGAGCGTTCAGGAGTTTCTGGCTGCAGTCTACATTTTTTATTGTCACACAAACAAAGATAATGAGACACTTGAGAGTTTCCTGGGAAGACCCTGGGGTAGGTATAGCAGCTCTTACCCATCATTAGATGTTTTTCTAAGGAAAGCAATAGATGAAGAGTAGAAATGGCCACTTGGACGTTTGTGTTCGCTTCCTTCATGGTCTTTCACTCGAGTCAAATCAGAGACTTTTAGGAGGTCTGCTGGGCCCAACAGGCCACAGTCCAAAAAGCATCCAGAAAGCAATCCACAACCTAAAGGAGATGAGTGCCTCTAACATCTGTCCTGACAGAAGCATCACCATCTTCCACTGTCTGATGGAGCTGAATGATCACACGGTGCACCAAGAAGTCTCAAAGTACCTCAAGTCAAAGAACAGATCAGAGCAGACACTCAGTGAAATCCACTGCTCAGCTCTGGCCTACATGCTCCAGCTGTCAGGGGAGGTCCTGGATGTGCTGGACATGACGGCATACAGGACGACACAGGAGGGACGACTTAGGCTGATCCCAGTTGTCAGGAACTGCAGGAAGGCTCGGTGAGTTCACGGCCTGTATTTATTGTAGCAAACATCTCCGAATCTCTGCTAGGTTTTCCTTCTGACAATTAGAATTAGTTAGTTAGAATTTCTTCTTAGTCCCAAACAGGGGCGCCGGGGGGTGATGGAGCCAATCCCAGCCGACATCGGGCGAGAAGGGCCATTTTTGATATTGTTATTTCTAACTCCATACACATTGCTCACAATGCTTTGACAAAAACTGCACGGTAACAGCCACATAAGATCTACCACACATCAAAGTTTGATCTGGATCCAAGTCAGATTCCAGATCTGCTGATCCAGAATGTTCACATTTATAAGGTTTGTGGAAAACTGGCTTCTGTGAGACAATAAATAAAACTACAGACTACAACAACTAAGATCAAATTCTAGCTGAAGCCTTCAGCTTCAGTATGGTGTCAACAGATCTAATGGCTTCAAAAGTTACTGAGCTACATCCTGAAGAAAACCACCATTAGTGTAGTACTGTTTTCCTTGGATCACCTTTGAACTTGTGATATCCATGTGATTCCATTTGCTAGGAGCAGATTTTCATAGTCGAAGACTCGTATTACGGGGGTCACACTATCATGGGAATGTTGCTTTCAGGTGGAATGACATCACACAGTGAGCTGCCTTGGTGGAGGTTTGCACTCTCTGAGCACTGTCTAATTAATAGTTTATTATGCTCATGATGTTTGATACCACAGTGTTGATTTCATCAATAAAAACTATGAGGGAAAATATTCTTTTACCCTATTCACAATGAAACAGAGTAAAAATAAAGAAATAAGTAGCAATAAACAAATGCACGAATTATCGCAGCAACAAGACTGAGTTTACCAGTAGAGTTCTAACAGTACCACAATCCAGTGGCTGCTTTGACAAAGATAAGCACAAAAAACGAACTGCATTCAAAATTGTTCTGCTATTTACAAGAGAGTATACCATTTTTTTTGTTTTTGTGCTCGATATTGGTACCATTGAATTTCTGCTTTGGTTTTAAAATAATCAGTGTTTTTTCTGCTTTTAAATCTGCAGACTTTCTGAATGCCGACTCTCAGAGACTCACTGTGAAATCTTGGCCTCGGCTCTGAAGTCCAGCCCCTCCCATCTGAGAGAGCTGGACCTGAGTAACAACAAGCTGCAGGAGTCAGGAGTGGAGCTGCTGTCTGCTGGACTGGAGCATCCAAACTGTAGACTGGAGACCCTGAGGTCAGACTTCATTAGGTCTGTGTCCGCGGCCAATTTGTTGATATAAGGGGAACAACAAAAAGAGAAGTTGGATGTTTTCATACCCAGTATCTTTTAGGTCATCGAGTGTGACGGTACATGTAGATGTGTTCCATCCAAGGCTAACAGACTTGCTTCAGGTTCTTGAGGACATTACCTTGTAGCCATCAAAGGAACTTCAGATTAAGTCACTGACTTCAGATGTGGGGATTGTCTTCTGGCGGACGTTCAGACCACTGCACATTCAGACTCCATCTAACATTCTATGTTACAACATTACTTTTGTCACACTACTTTTGCAAAGGTAGGGAGTACATCGGAGCCCTGTTGAGAAAGGGATTCAGTACCATTTAAAGACCTACATCCAACTGTGGAACGGTCTCGTTCCTGACAGTATCTGCATTCAGGCTGTTCTGTTAGCTACATGCTTTGTTCTTTATTCCTCCATCAGGTTAAGTGACTGCTGGCTGTTTGAGAGCTGCTGTGCTTCTCTGGCCTCGGCTCTGAAGTGCACCCCCTCCCATCTGAGAGAACTGGACCTGAGTAACAACAAGCTGCAGGAGTCAGGAGTGGAGCTGCTGTCTGCTGGGCTGGAGAACCCAACCTGTAGACTGGAGACCCTGAGGTCAGAAATGGTTTTGTTCCTCGATTACATGCTAAAATGTTCTTTTATTTTGACTCTTGGACATTATTTCTGCCAATTATGATCATGTTTCACTCACTATGTTTAATGTTTAAATCACACGAGCTCCTTTCAGCCCAGTGAGCTAAACAACCGATTTAAAGCCAAGGTGAACGAATAGTTCAGTGAATTTTATAATGAATGTCGTCTGTTGTGATCCACAGTGAGCCATGCAGCCATATAACTTATGGGTGGACAAAATGAATGCAAGTTACATTGTTCCTGTCAATGTTTGCTTTATTTGATTTCCTTGTAATTTGATCTATAAACTATGAATTACTCTTTATAAACTATTTGGTAAGAAATCAGTATCTTTATGTAGTGGTATTTTTTTTTAGAGCATATTCACTAATAAAATCATTTTAAAAGCTTGTATTAAATCTTATTTTTATTGTTCAATTGAATGTTAGAAGTTAAGAAGTTTTTGCATCTTTCTAATTATTTGTTAAACTCACAGCTACATGAGAACCTGCACCAATGTGACGATTCTGAAACGGTGCAGCTTTTCTCTAAATAAATGTTTTGTTTTACGGCTCAGACTGAGTTTCTGCAGGTTGACAGACAGGAGCTGTGTTTTTCTGGCCTCGGCTCTGAAGTCCAACCCCTCCCATCTCAAGGAACTCGACCTGAGGGATCTGCAGGAGTCAGGAGTGGAGCTGCTGTCAGCAGGACTGGAGAGTCAGCAGTGTAGACTGGAGACCCTGAGGTCAGTAGTAACACATGATGCTAAAGCTTGATTTACGGTTCTGCATTAAATCTACACCGTATCTTCAGCACTGGTAACATGTAGCCTCGTCCCCTACGCTGTAACCTGACATGCACCTCTCCAGAAACGTAACTGTGCATCATGGCGACCCAGATAACATCTGTTTTTTGTTGCATCGCATTTCCTTGTTCATGTCTCTCAGTGGCTGGACAAGCATGGAAATCCCCCTGGCTCTACAGGGATTAAACGCCAAACCTTAACCTCTAGAGTCCCTGCGTCCTCATATGAGGACCGCACAGCTTGGGTTTCCAAAGCTCAGGACTCTAGAGGTTAAACCAAGCTCAAGTCTTACAAAAATCTTGATTTTATTGAACCAAAGGAGAGTCACTGAGCCAGAGACAAGGTGGAACTTTGTGTGATGTGTTTGATTCAGCCTGTTGTTGTTCTCGTCCCTACAGGTATAATACACCTGGAAATATCCCGTCTTTAATGAAAGAAGCTGAACCTGCACAAAGAAAGTTTTATCATGTTGACACGTTCAAGCATAAAACTCTTCAGCAGCAGTCCAGACTAAAATAAAGTTCTAACAGACAAAAACTGTCAGCATGTCTTCTGTGAATCCTTGTATGAAATCAAATTTCTGGGTGTCATGGTTGACGACAGATTATCCTGGAAATCTCATATCAGTTATGTTCAGCATAAAATAGCTAAAAATATATCGATATTGGCAAGGGTTAGATATATGCTGGACGTTAAAGCATTGCGCATTTTGTATTCTTCATTGATTTTGCCATATTTGGAGTATGGCGTTGAAAACTGGGGAAATACATACAGGAGTACGCTTCAACCATTGTACATATTACAGAAGAGAGCGATAAGAGTTGTGCACAAGATGGGGTATAGGGATCACACAAATGTAGTTTTCATACAGTCTAAATTGTTAAAATTCTTTGATTTAGTGGAATATAAGACTGCTGTGTTTATGTATAAAGCCAGGAACGACTTATTACCTGGTGGAATCCAAAAGCTATTTGATGAAAGGGAAGGGGGATATAATTTAAGGGGTCAGTTAAATTTAAAAGTTCATGCTATACGTACAACCAAAAAAAGATTTTGTATTTCTATAAGTGGGGTCAAATTATGGAATAATTTAACTGTGGACATGAAAAATAGTACTAGAATTGAGGAGTTTAAATTTTTTTTTGGATATGTGTAATTATGTGTGTTGTTGTCATTTGTTCATTTGTTCTGTTCTGCATGTTTGAAAGAATAAAATCAATCAATCAATCAATCAATCATTCCTTGTATGTACAACATTTTATCCCATTTTTAGCCTCACAACTGTCACATATGTGCATGAAAAATGACACAGCCTGCCTACACACTTATTTTTACTCTGATTGAATGCATTTTATTTTTCCTAGTCTTTTTAAATGAAACAATTTGAATGGTTTTTATTATTTTCAATGTATTTTTATGATTTTCAAAATTTAAAATCTACTGTGCATTAGCATCATGGATTTTTCTTTTAGTTTTTAATGGAAACTAAACTTTAAACTTGAGTGCGACTCTGGGTCGAGACAAGGAAGAAGGTCGTCGGTGTTAGCGCGTCCTTCAGTCTCTATAATCTTTAAACGCTTTTCATTTTTGATCTCATTCACAAAAGAGGGGAAAAGAAAAGTATTTCTGGTGTTCGAATACGAGTCTGATACTTCAGAAAACAACACAAACCACAGATAAACAGAGAGGCCAGATACTCATCAACAGAAAATATATCTTAGTAGTACTTTAACACCTCTATAAAAACAGGAAGTACATGTTTTTTTAAAAACATTGGCACTTAAACTTGATGTAACACTTTATAGTTTTATTTTTATTAAACACCTCAAAAGAACTACTTTAATCACCAAGAGTTGGAGAAGTATTTAGAGAGTACACGTCTGCCTGGTCAGGAGTTAAACCTGGTGACTGCAGGCCAACCTGTGTGACGCCTGATCCACTCAAAGTAATGAGCCACCTGTCAGACACAGAGAAGGGATTCATATAAATGCGGTGTGTTAGTATTTGTGACACTGGCTGTGTAGCTGTGGAGGCCAGGAACCGATCTTAACCTGATCTCAGGTATTTGTGCTGCTGTGTTTTATGGTTCAGTGCTTCTACTGTTTACTGAACATACAATCTGTTTTCAGTTTCTTTATGTTTCTTCAGGTTCAACATGGAGACGACAAAGAAACCACTTCTAAATCCCATTAAATAAACATTTTTACATTTTAGGAAAGAAGATACAAAGACAGGAAATCAAACAGAAATAAGAAACAACAATAATAAATTCTATAAAAACACAAGTTGTTTGTCCTTAATTGTCCAGATGTGCAGTAGTTTTCATTACACCATGTGTGAAATCAGCGTTACACCACAGTAAACTGTAAAAATGTACTTCCTCTGTGTACAAAATGTAGTTTGTATGCACGTTTTTGCCTGTGAATGAATATATATTGTTTATTGTCATATATATATATATATAAAGCCACAGCACACTATGCATACCACACTACATGTGTTTTACCTGGGTATAAACTCCGGGGTAGCCCGGCTGACCGCACCTCTCCCCCCAGCTGACGACACCCCACAGGTAGGAAACACCCAGCGCATCTTCACACACCAGGGGACCTCCGCTGTCCCCCTGACAGGAGTCCACACTGCCTTGCAGATCACCTGCACACATGCACGTTTACACCTGGGCAGGGCCTGTGAACAGCTGGTCTTGGTGTATGCCCGTGGGCACCGCGTCACACCCACCTGCACACATCATGCCCGGTTTGAAGCGGTTTTTGTAGAACCTGTCACAGCCTTCGATGAGGGACACGTTGGCCCAGAGCAGCACCTGAGATGCTTTGCCATCTGTGAACAGAGGTGTCAGCAGTTCACTGTTCCAGTAACAGACACTGACTGACACAGTGGCCCAAAATGTAGCATCTGAGGTTTTGTAGGCTTTAGACCAAAACATTAGTCTTGATCCACTGACAACCTGTTTTGTTGTGTGTTTCATTACTTTTAGTGCAGTTAGAACATTTCATAGCACAAAATAAAAACTGTATGACGGTGACTGTAGACCAGAACTGAGCGATGCTCATGGTCAAAACGTTTGCAGATGAGGTTAACAATGGACGACCACTACAGCAGCACCTGAGGAGCTTTCTAACCTTTTCAAAGACGACTTTGTTGTAATAGGTTGTTCATCTCTTTACCTTGTATCACCTGAGTGGGGGCGGGTCAAACTGAAACAGCCACAACAAATTTATTCATCAACTAATCATTAATTACCAAAACACAATCTGCTAATATGTGTACAGTTTGACTGTAAAACAACGGAGCCCGTTTTCCAAGGTTTTTGTAGAGAAAGCAAAAAATGTCAGAAATGTAAGACGCTAAGCTAAGGGTGGTGACGTCACAGCTGGGCGGGGCTGTACACACCTTTGGTTCGTCCCCACCCAGAGATGCTGCAGGTGTGATTGAGCTGAAACAGTTGGGTGGACCAGGGCACGCAGATGGCACTGATGGCTGGGTTGTCCTCGAAACATTTCTCCAGGAATGGAAGCTTCTCCAGCTTCACCAGAGCAATGTCGTTCTCGTAGCTGCTGGCGTTGTACCTGCAGGACGTTGACAGTTTACTCACTCTGTTGGGTTAGTGTTTACATCCATGGGTAGCGTCATTGTTTCATACCTGTGGTGGATGATAATGTCTTTAACAGGAACAATGTCCGTCGTGCTTTGAGCTCGAAACTTCCTCCAGAGAGAAAACTTCACTTTAAAAGCAGAAGGGTTGGGCCTGGCAGAGACAAGGGTGAGGACCTATTAGTTTTAAAATACATTTGTACTTATTTCATACTGATTCATCATTCTATCACTTCCACGCCTTTACAAATAAACTTTGTGCTCAGAATAAAAAACTAAGCTAACACAGAAACAAGCAAACAGCAGTGGGGAAAGGAGAAAGCAACAAGACAAGACAAACACTTTGTGTGTTCTAGCTCTGATTTGGACGTCACTGAAGCCTTGGTGGCTGGGTATCCATTTAAAAACCCTTTTCTCTCTGTGTTCTATTGGCCTACCAGTGTTAACACCTTTTAACCTTGTTGCTGTCGTTGCATGTTTGAGGGTTGTGGCCCCAGCCATACTGTTTTTCCAAAGGCGGTGCTTGGAATCTGATGTAAATACATCTCCAAGATGAGTTTGGTTTCTTTTCTAAGCTCCTGCTAGAAGCTTTGAACAGGCCCAGAATATTAGTGTGTGAAAGGTCTCAACCTTATAAACCTGAAGGTTCCATATTTAGCAGGAGTTCTGTGATACCTTCACTATTAAGTTGCTTTAACATGTTTTCCTGCCCCTGTGTCATGGAAACTTTGAAAAGACAGCTGTTGGAAATGGCACCATAGCCTTACAGTCAGGATCCTCTCTACTAATACAAAATACTACTGCATCATTGTTTATCCTTGCACCCAACACTGATCCTACCTGACGCAGTGAGCAGCAGTGATGACCCAGCAGCCTCCGATAAAAGCTCCACCACAGTCGATCTTGCCCTTCTCGACCAGAGCGATCTGCCACTGGATCTGAGTCTGCACACAAACAGGAATGAACAGGAGGCGCTTTCATTGGACCCCGATGTAAGAAATGATTGTGATAACAGTAATAGACAGGGCAGCTTTATACAGAGGTACTGGGGTTACAATTAGACAGGCAGGCGTGTTTCACTGACTGGTTCTGCTGGGAGTCCTCCCACCACTCTCTTGACTCGGCTGTTCCTTCCTCGCACGTCCACTGCCACCGCTGTCTTGTTAGGAACCCCGCATTTTAACATGGACTCCAGATACTTTCTGTTGGCCTTAATTTCTAGACACACAAGTTCAGTTGTTGAAAAGCTGTGATGAGATTTGGTCTGAATTACTTGGTCTTAGACAACTGGACTTGAGATGGGTTGAGCTAGTGACCTCGTTTGACTTGGACTTGCACCTAAATCACCCGACTGCAACCCTGGAAAAGCTACCGCTCTCCACAGCCAAAAGTATCTGGACTCCTGACCATACCAGCTGCAGTATAAGGGAAAATGCATGTTCTGTCGTATGTCTGGAGCTGGGTCACAGTCAGAACAGGCTAAACAGGGTAGTCCACACATCCCTCTCCAGCAATGATCAGTAATCAATTATTTTACTAGTAGGCTGCATCAGTTTTAAGGCAACATACCTTTGTGGGGAGAGGCGTACTCTGAAATAAGAATAAAAAGAAAAATCATCATCACCATTAACAACAGAAACAACTCCCTGATGTGAAAAGTTAAACCCAGAGCTGTGCACACACTGTTTACAGGTGTACCTGTGTTTTGGGGTGTTTGGTGCATCGCTGCTGCCTCTGTGGAGAACAGAAACATACTGTATCACATAGTACAAACGCTCAGGGTCAGAACATCACACAGATGGTGGTAAAATGTCTACAAACACCCCAGCACTGTACATATGTCAAGAGCAGAAATATGGCAGCACTGAGGTTGGTCTGTTCAGAGTGTGATGTTTACTACAGTGCACTGCAAACTTATTCCAGTACTTAGTGTTCTCACTGGACGGTATTTAGTTACCACATTAGAAGGCCACATTGAGCAAACAACTGCTGTTACCCCATTGACCAAACCTTTATCATTTAGTCACTTTCCAAACTGTATGTTGGAACCACTGGCCTGTTATTGACTGCAGGTGGAGTCCAGAGTCCAGTTCATGCTTTATAATTCCATGTGTGTACAAAGGTCTGTATGTACTGTGTGCAGCCCAGAATTTGAGTGCACATGGATTGTGATCTGAACGGTGAGACGAAGGAGCTTTTCTTCCTGCTGTCAGGCTTCGTAGGATGCTCGTGTGGAAGGTGTCCACATAGGCTTAGCCCAGACTGTGGGCTAAATAAAAGCATGTTTGTGGTCCGTATCCATCCAAGGGTACACGGAAACCATGAATCAGCCTTAACATAACCATCAAGATTGTTAAGTTTTGCTACAAACCTTTGTCTGAAAAAGAAGAAACAGAAACTTCTTCCGGAACTGAAATTTAAAAGCAAAGATTTCACATCTCCAAGAAAATAACCTCTGGGTTAAATGATTTTTAAAATGCCTGTATCTCACGGCTGTCCTTAGACGTGTGTTTGGATGATTCGTCCTCGCCATCTAGACAGTCGTGCACTCCATCTGTGAGCGTATCTTTATGCACACACACACCTGTCTTGCACCGGAAAGCACCATTCCTGCAATCTGACACAACACAATCATTCACATAGTGAAAGGCACACAGGGCTCTAAAATCTATTTATGTGTGCGACTGGTTTACTTTTGCAGCACATCTCGTCGCTTTGGTCGCCACAGTCGTCAACACCGTCACATGTCTGGTTGAGAGACACGCACTTACTGTTAACACATTTGAAGCCACACTTATCCCCTGAAACACAAGGACACAAAAATGTGAAGAGACAATTGCACTCCCATCATAGTGGAGGCAGAGTGTGGGAATAACTGAGGTAGATTATCAGGAAGCTTCAAAATCACCCTGCACCAGCACTTTGGATGGGGGCCCAGACAAGGGCAGAGCTGCTGATGCTAACCAAGGACACCTCAGAGACATGAACATCTTCTACATCATGTTAAATGTGTGCACTGGCTCCTGACAATCTCATTTTTTGTTACTTGTGTTTACTCTATTCATGGGGAGGATATCAAGGCACAGTAGAAATCTAAAATGGTTACACTACGGTAGCATCTCGCTGATGTGCAGACGTGGTTGTTACTTTGGTTTAACTGCGCTCAAGTGTACACGGACTGACTAGTCGTAGTCTTGGGTTGTTGTGTGCAAGCTTCAGTAGGCTGTCATGACACAACTTATGAACTCAGTGTTACATTTTCAAACATTTAACCTAAAACATACTTACATCAGCAGCGTTCATGTGTATTTTTCTTGTGCGCACAATAAGAATCTACTAAGGGAACCAACACAAAAGAGTAGAACCAGTGCTTACTGACCTTGTGGTGCCTCATAACAAGTGGCCGTAGCCACCATGTTGTCCCCAGTCGAGATCTTGTCATAGATTACACACTCAGCCAGGGATGTCTCATAACCTTGGCAGCGGACGCTAATACAGCTGCCTGGAAACCGGTTTCCAAACTCGACTGTCAGGGGATAGTATGACACAGAGTCAGCAGCGGCTGCACCCCTGTAGGCGCACACAGGACACACTGTCAATACAACTGTGTGTGTCACTAACAAAATGTCACTTTCTTGGTCTTGCTGGAAGGATGTTTTCATTGGCTGGGAGGTGATATGCAGGTGACATTTAGTCCTCTATACTTTTTGGGATGTTCTCTACATGTCGGTACATTACGCATATGACAAACATACATTATGTAAATAAATCTCCTCTCACAGTGGGTTCCCGTGTTCTCTGCAGGCCACGTTAGCAGCTGCCATGTCCCACAGGTCCCCGCACACCAGTAACTCCTCCCCACCTTCAGTGCTCTTAGGCTGAGGAATGAAGACCTTGACCACGCTCGAGTCTGAGTCTATTGAACTTTTGAACTTTGGATTAGTCTCTGTGGTGAGAGAGAGAGACAGCAACATTAAGTGTGTGTTTGACTATAACAGTGACAACAAAGACATAACAAGGCACCAAGTGTATCTGTGAGAGCAGACCTTGACAATTGTCCCCAAAGTGAGACATGAAAGGTTTCTTGGTCCGACATGAGATGGCCATGACCTGGAGAGCAGATTGTAAAAAAATTTAATTTGGCACCTTAATGATACGGTTCTCATTCTTGGAAGGCCTGGACTATTGAAGTCAGAGCCTAATGGCCTGCAGCGATTATCACCGCTGAGTAATCCTGCATCTTTTCAGAACCTGGTTCTGATCCTCAACAAGATATACTGTATAGATGGAAATTCAGTAGGTTTGAATTTTGCCGCGCTATCAAGGATAGCCAAGAGTTGGACAGCAGCTGTGGGTGGAGACGGTACCATAAGCCTACAGGAGGAAACAATGGTGGTCACAAATTAAACCAAGAAGCTTAAGCAGGCCCATGACCCAGAACTCAGCACACCAGCAGCAAAACTGCAGTTAAGGAAAGGAGGAACTTTTCTGTGAATAAGGGAAGTTAGGAGACACATTCCTACAAAAGAGGAACTGCAGACGGAGGAGTGTGTGTAAGAAGAGGAGGGAAAAAGAGAGAAGGAAATATAATGGCTTCATACATAAAGTAAAGACTTGATTGATCAGTGATAATCAATGTTTAATCAAGTGTTAATTTTGTATTCAAAATAATATAGTCATAATATAGTGCCATGACAGTTTTTGTGTAACAGTGTGTAATTCTGATGGTTTAGTTAGATGTTACAATGGGAGTTTTGTATTTTGATCAGATTCTTGCACTTTTATCAGCCATTAGAATGATTTGTTTTTGAGAAAAGAGAAGCAGACGATGCTGAATCACACTGGGTGGAGGCCAGTTATGGGCATGTCCACAGTGGTAATGGCTGAAAGCCGTGGCATCTGATTGGATGAGAGGACGAAGTCTACGTGACAAGAAGCCTATTAAAACCATGGCAAAGAGTAACGGGAGACTTTTTCTTCATCAAGTTCAGAAACGTATCAGCATCTTCGTAAACTATACATCTACACCCAATTCCCGATTTGTGTTTCTAATGCCAATGCTATTTCCAAGCCAGCAGTTAATATCAAAGACGATCAAGAAGTTACCTGGCAGAAGGAGCGGTAGCTCCTACTGTCTCGTCCACACACTGCTGTCACATTCTCAGTGGGACACATATAGGGTAATTTACAGTTGCACTGTCCATCAATGCAACGCTCCCATGGAGGACAAAACACCAGGTTGCATGACGCACGAGTAAACCTGATGAATGTAGACAGATCAAGTACAGACACAGATCGGTACAGTGGGCTAAGTTGCATTAAGCTTTAAGCCGGATATACACTGCAGGTTTATTGACTGTTATAGTGTGTTAACTAAAATTGTTGGTTGTTCAAGAGATTAATTGTGCACCAGGACCCTGCTCACACTGCACATCAACAATCCACCAAGCAGCAGTTCAGCAGTTTAACACTGGCCTGTTTTGGACCTCTCATTTTCTCTCCACATCTTATTTACTCAGCGACTCATGCAGCCACAAAAATATGAGGATGAACAGTTTTGTTTCTGTGATTAACTGCTCCTGGCACACATCACCACAGCTTCTATGTCAAGTGAAAATAAAGTTGTCAGAAAATTCAGTGTGATTATCAAGCAAGAGACAAACTGTTTAAATACAAAGCAGTATCTTTCCAAACAAACTCAACTAGCTGTTGGCAAGTGTTTATGACAGTCAAGGGGAGAACTGATAAATCTGTACATAATGAAGACTAAGAATTCAAAAGAGGAAATATAAGTACAACAAATACATAGAAAGCAATAAAGAAAGTTAAACAACCAAAACAAGGAGCTGAGCCAAACAAAATACACCTACTTCTTTTCCAGGCACTCAGGCGGACCTAGAAAGTTGTCTTCCTCTGGTGCCTTTCTGGTCACGGGGGTTGGGACTGGAAACTGTGGTTTCTTTTGCTCTATGGCCGATGGAATCTCAGGTTCTGGTGGACTCTCCTGGAGGAGCAATTTAAACACAATACAGAAATCTGAACCGACTGTCACCAAGCACATCATTTAAAACTTCAAGTGCTATGCAGATGATACATGTCTTAATATAAAAGAACTTATTCATTAAAATCAATGATTGATTTCCAGTTTCTAGGTGATAAAATAATACAGCAGAAACAAAAACATTTAATTATTTGTCTTATTGACAGCATTTAAATTACCAGTTGTAAGATGCTTCAGATTAATGAACAGCACTTAACAATTATTTGAGTAATAACTGAAGTGGGTGCTGCACCAGACTGTGTCCTAAAAACAAGTAACCAGGGTCATTCACAAGCTCTTCAGGATTGTTCTGATCATAATCTATCGGTATTTTATGACCAGTTATCTGCAAATTCAGGATTGTTCTGATCATAATCTATCTGTATTTTATGACTAACAGCCTCAGCTGTACTTTATATTTAGTGGCAATTAGCAAATCTTAGCATGCTATAGGCTAACCACTGAAGTAAGATGGTGAGCATGGTGAATACTATTGATTGATTGATTGATTTGTATTCTTTCAAACATGCAGAACAGAACAACTATAACAACTATATCTACAAAACAAAGTCCAACCTGCTTGACTGCAGACTTTGGTAAACATGTATTTTGAAAATGCATTTTAAAAATAGTGACTTGACTTGACTTGATTATAGCATGCCTTAAAGATACCATATTACAATGCAAAGTACTGTAATATACAGTGCTAAATACACAATACATATCATATACTGTACTCAGGAACACTTTTTATACCCTGTATTTGCTAGTCATATTCAGCTGTAACCATGCATTACAACACGATTCTACATATCTCATCATGCATTAAGTACGTACATATAGTACACTGTGAAATGTCACAGATGGAGGCAGGAAATCCTGCACAATGTAAGTTAAAAAACATGCATAAAGGTCTGAAAAAGGAGGTGATCTAATGTTTTTGAACACTTCAAAAGACAGCACGAGTAAACTCACCGTTTCAGAGAGAAGAAAGAGAAAAAACAGCAAGAGAAGAGAAAATCTGATAGATCTCATCCTGAAAAACATAATTTCTCTTGTGTTCAGAAACACTATGGGTGGACAAGAATGAAACAAATAGCTTTGACAAAATACTGTAAAATGAAGAGAGACAGAGAGTTAATCTCTCTGAAGGAGCACTTCAACCAACTATCTTTTCACCCCTGTCCACCGATGTGGTCATCAATCAATACATACACAGCCAGGACTCTGGATTGATCCTGATCATGTCCTCTAATGGCATATAACAGAAATGAAGAGGTGGGGGAGGGGTGTTTAGTTGTATGTGTCAAAACCCAGCTTCCAGTAACCACAAACACATACAAATATTTGTACTCTGTGGGCAGCACAGTGGCTCAGAGAAGGTTTGGACATTGCTTCCTTCTACAAGTCTGAAAAATGTAGGTAAAGATTTTTGTTTTTTAGAAAAAAAAGTGTGAATATAAGAGTTGTGTTAAGAACATGCTGACATGACACAGCAGGAAAGGTACAGGTGCAAATAAAGCAATGTCTGAATCCATCTCAACTGTTTTTCCCTAGGTCCCAATAATGAACAGGTCACTGTCATGGTTAATGGGGACATCTGAATAGAATGGAGAAATACTCAGTGCCATTAGTAATACAGTATGTAGTTTTATCTTCTGGGGAATAGGAAGATGCATGCTGGGAAAGGCTGCAGCACTTTAAGGAAAACAAATACACAGAGTTAAAGTTCAAGCTTGTATCAATAAAAGAGCATTTCAAAATCCCTGTGTACCCACCGTGAGGCAGACTCTGCTTCAGCTCTGTTCACACAAGCAGCCTACAGTAAAGCACAAGCCTGGTGATATTCTGGGTTTTTCTTCATGTTCAGACACAAACCAACCCTGAATGCCTCCCAGTACCAGAAACCATTAAACGTGACCACACTGCTGCACTGACTGACACGTTCTTTCATCACCATTAACACACACACACACACACACACTGGAGTTCATTCTGACCCAGTACCACATACACCCTACTACCACTGAAAATAGTCCCCAGTACATGCACAGTTTCCTCCTGTTTGATAAAATCTACAGTGACCTGGTTTGTTAAGGCTTTTTAAAAATTTAACCATATACAGATGTTGGAGCTTAGAGCCACAGACAGGAAGTCAGAAAGTGTTGAGAGATGCACTAACACATTGTTGGTTTTGGTCTTTTCATGGGATTTGTTAAGAAATATAGAATAACACCAAACTTATCTTCTAACTCCAAGTCAACGCATATTATCACAGAACAAAACAGTATCTTCTAACTCCAAGTCAACGCATATCACAGAGCAAAACAACCTGCAGTTACTATACAACCACATCAGCCAACGTGCATGTGTAGGACTGTGAGAGGACGTCTGCTTACACAAAGAGACAACATGGAAACTCAACATGGAATGAACCCAGAGGCTCACATCACAGTCTTAAAGTAACAACTAAACCACTATAACATCCAGATGTTTGTGTTTCTGTGGAGAAAATAACGCTTACTGTTTCAGGTTACTGGAGTCCTGGGTTTTCCCACATGGTAACACAACCACAAACATGCCCCCTTCCACTACACACACGTCAATAAGATCAATCTAGGGTACAAACTTTGTGTTTGTGTGTCTACATTGGCAAGACAAGGTAATGACTGCGATGATATTGTCTGGATAGACAGACATCATCAGCCAACAGCCTGTCCTCTGAAATGTTTGGTGTAGCGTGAAACTGCTCTTGTGCACAAAGAAAATGTCCCTTCTCTGTTAAATTCAACCCTGATATCATTTGAGTTTTGTTTATTCTGCACTTTTTACCCTTTAGCTGCCAAACAATAGTGAAAAGACAAAACCATTACAGTTGCATCCAAAACAAAGAGCTGAAAGATGTTACAGTGCTTCATAGGATAAGGATAATCACCTTTATTGGCCAAGTATGTTACACACAAGGAATTGGTTTCCAGTACAGAACCGATGGCAGCCATCTGTGGCGCCAACTGAACCAATGGCTCTGACCACCGGGGGGGTTCAGTGTCTTGCTCAAGGACACTTTGATATGTGGACTGCAGGGACCGATATTCAAACCTGCGACCTTCTGGTTGGGAGACGACTGCTCTACCCACTGAGCCACCTCCAAAGGTGAGGATCAGTTCAGATTTGAGAAGTGACACTGAGGTTTCTTGCCTCTTCCTGTGTGACATCTTGCACCAACTGATGTTTCTGTGTTCACTGTAAATTTTGAACATTTGATATAAGAGACTGAAGAAATGAGAATCTCATGCTGAATGACTCAGGCAGAGGCACAGAAACGGGGGTAATAATAGAAAAAAATCAGAGTCACTCAAAATGAACATTTTCTTTTTCATTTTTATTTTATTGCACCACATTGATAATCATCTCTAACATAAAGTCTGCAGTATTGTGACACGCATCTTCCTGCCATAAAGCACATACAGTAATGCCTCGTATTAGAGAAAATATGAAATGTCAGAGAAACATGCAAACAAATCCTATAGAAAACCACAAAGAATTACAATTTGAACACAGACAGGCACTGATGGAAGCAACTGAATGAAACACAGGGCCCAAAACCTGCTATGGAGAAAGGCTGGGACAATTAAAGGTCATTTTTGGTGACTGATCGACAACAACATCATCATCATCACCGGCTCTGGTGCCATTAAAGGTCATTTTTGGTGACTGATCGGCAACAACATCATCATCACCGGCTCTGGTGACGTTGTGTGATATTTGACTTCAGGAGATGTTCTCCTGGTGAAAATTAGCTCCAAGGTAATGCTAACACATCACATACAAACCGTTTCCTGCCAACAAATCAGCATGAGCACATTAGCATTAGCCCACCACGGTGACGACACAGCTAATCTTTTAGCATGTTCTAGGACACAATGCTAATATATTTGCATACTACATTTTGATGACAGGGAACGTGCTAGCACTGTAGCATAAGCTAGAGGTCTGATGCTAAAAGAGCATTTTGGGGTTTTTTTTGCACATTTTTGGTATCTGCCATCATCATTTAAAGCCAAGTGACCATTTTAACATTTGTTTTTCATCAAATTTTTAACCCTTTGGAAACATTAACAAAAAGCTCTGTCTGCAGTTTCCTAGCATTAGCAGTTGACTGAGCATGGCCCCATAGCACTGCTAGGGCTTCACTTCTATTTCTGTCACAGCTCTTCTATAGGAGACTCTGGTCTTTTGAGTAAAACTATCATTGACTTCATCCAACAAACTCCTGAATGCTTCCTGCACTTGGCAAACAAAGCTGTTCAGATGTTTTGGATCGTACAAAGACATGAAAACAATTACACCTGAACACATATAGGTACAAAGCACACAAAAAACAGAGGACACAGACATATAATTTGGTCTTTCGGTTGATACATTCATTATAGGTAGAAGACTAATTGTTGCCACTGTTATTTGATTCAAATTGCACCCAAAGCCAGGTTTACTAGAAAGGAGTCCACAGGAAAGAGGCGCCTTTCACCACAATGTTTAAAATGGAAGCAAAGATGCACTTAACTCTGCTGCAGTCTTCTGTTGTTTGGGGCTGAATGGGAGAAAATGTTTAACCTGTATATCCAGTTAAATATTACGTGTAGTGTTTGTGTATTTGGGAAGAAAATATAAAACCACTATAACCTTTTAGTAAATCTCCAGTGTGTTAACAGATCATATACCATAAAATAAGCAAACGATTCGAAGACAAATGAGGAGAGGTCACTGAAAAAGAAACATACTCTTTGAAAACGTTCCAGCAACTTGTTTAGTTTATACTGATGGTGGTGATTGGAGAGAATAGATTGTGCTTCATGTGATTTAACGGTACATAAATAGATACTAAAACTGTTCATGTATGTTGCTGGCCTACAAAATTTACCATATATAAACAGAAAACTACATAAAAGTCATCACTGACTTCTCTGCTTACATTGCCATACGCCCACACAAGTCAGGACTTCAGCAGCTTCGTACCAAATAGCAGCTATAGTGTCGACTCTCAAGAGGATGAGTAAACATGGAGTGAGTTTTAGTTTCAATTGCACAAACATTTCTCAGAGGCAGAACTGCTTTGTGCACGAGGACCACATTCCTTTGGCCAGGTAATAATTAGGAGAGGTTGATGCTTCTGCAGCATTTTAGTCTTATTGTCATTTCAGGGCAGCATTTGGTTATTTCTTTAGCCACTTGGGGGAAGCAGGGAACACAGCGCCTATTAAATGAGTGTTTCCATCTACTACAGTTATGGGACTGTGAGGAGTTGGTTCACTGAGATAAACAGCCAATGGTGCCAATTTTACAGTCGGTGCCATTACAGTATTGTAGAAGGTGACACGTCAAGAGAGCACCATGAGCCTCAGCCCGGTGCTCCCTCTCTGTTCGCTCTGGGTTTGGTCTCCACCACCTCCTGAGCAAAACCTCTGCCTCTGGAGATGCTAAACGCTCCACTGTGTTCCCCAGCTGCTCTCTGACTGGCTCTGTCTGCTGCTGAGCAGGTCGTGGACAGCAGCTTTTCAGAGCTTTGAATCTGAAAATAGCTGCTTCTGGAAGAGTGAACGCTGAGAGTGGGGTGTGAGGGCCAAAACCTCAGACTATGGGGAAAATTAGCTCACGTGGGTGAAATAAATCTTCACAAAATGTTTCAGTGCATCTTGGGTGAACTCTTGACACGCCAAGCTGCAGCAGCCACTGAAGGCGCTGATCACTGTTATGGCCAACTCGGAGCTGATCACCAACTCGACTAGTGAGAAACAGTCACGGGTCACTGTGACAGCCTGTAGGGTCAGCTGGCCTTAAAGGGCTCTCCACCAGTTCATCTTTGTACACCTAGAATGTTTCTGGACTACTAATGGAAAGCTTAAAAACCAGAGATACCATCTGTTTAGACCAGGCCTCCTTGCTCCTTGTCAAACCTGTTGCCTACATTGCCCACAATGGAACTAAATCATGGCGTGTTCAGTCAGACTCAGGTGTGTTATGCTAGAGAAGCCTGGCTGCAGAGGTCTGGTGAAGTTCTTTCCAACTGCACACCCCCCCAATCTATTACTTTCAAACTTGGTAGTCCTCAGACCAAACTGACGCCGACGTAGACTTTGCACGGCTCCTTCTGGGGCAGTAAATGCTTTATAGGACTTTTAGCACGACAAACAATTCCTTTCACGTTACCTACATAAAATTTTATTGCATGCAGTTTAATAAGAGATTTTTTCTAAAGCAATAAGAAAAACCTTCTGACGTCTCTGCATCATCGCTCTTGAAGCAGCTCCACCTCTGAGAAACAAGAAGAAGAACATGGACACGCACGGACGGACTGAACGGCGGAGACGGTGACTAACAGCACAGGTTATTATATTGCTGCTAAATGTGTGCGTTTATTTCCACTGTCAGTGTGCAAACTGCCCAGTACGTGCACGCTTTCCATGAGTGCAATATATGGAGTGTGTGTGTTTGTATAAGCCACATCTGTTGAGAAGGCTATGACTGCATGTGCACATTTCTTTATTATGTGCACATGTGGCATGATGCATCATTAGGAAACCAAAAAGGCAAAATAAACACAATTGTGTGTGTGTGTGTCTGTGTATATATATACACAGACACACACATACACCTCTCCCTGCTGTCAACAGAAAAGCACTTTAAGTATGTTTCAAGACTTTTCAACTTAAAATCTGTCAGTACTTCTACATGTATCAGAGCAAAGGTCTTACAATGAGTGGAAATGTAGGAAATGACACCGTACTTTGGTTTAAGGCCATGACTCGTTTCTTAGTAACAGATGTCTACAGACAGTAAACGTCTGACTTTAGGGCTGGTTCAGACAGGGGATTAGAAAGGGAAGACGCTAAGCGCGCTGCAACAGGTGAAAATAGACAACCAACTAAAATACCAAACTGTTGGAAATACTGGTTGGTTCCCCTTCTGACTGCTGAGTCATGCTGCAGCTTGTCAAATGTATAAACCGTGATATTAAACAGAGCAGCGGTGTTGCCTTTTACATTCCACTTGTTAACCGCTGTATAACTGACATCGCCTTTAACCACAGCTCTACCAGTAAAACCTCTGGCAGACGTTAATAAATAAAATCAAAGGAAATAAGAAAAAAGATCAAACATAACAGGATTGCTAGAAATGTGGAACAAGTGAATCCATGTGATCTCAACCCCCCAGCACAAAGAGACTTCTTCATTAAAGGGCAGTTACAAGTGATTCGTTTAGTTAAGCTGAACTCTGAGGAAAATCCCTGGATTTATATTTCATACACTGCTGTTTCCAGCTGCAGTTTGAGTTGTAGTTGAGTATTACGGGGTGCCAACAGGTGATCCTTTGAGGCTGTGGAGGGCTGCATGGATCTTGAAGTGCAGCCTGGACTCCATGGAGTAATCCTTATAGTTCATCCTGATGGAAAACACAAGAAATCATCCGGAATAGAAGAGAGCATGTTATTAGTGTGTACACTGCTAGCATATCAAGATACAGTTTGTACATGTGTTTAAGGTGTACATCATTGAGAGCATCTTGACCAGCTGCATCACTGTCTGGTATGGCAGCACTACTGCTATGGACCACAAGCGCCTTCAGAGAGTGGTAAAGACTGTGGAGAAGATCACCAGGACTCCACTGCCCTCTCTGCAGAGCATTTACCACCGCAGGGTGCGTAGGAAAGCTGCCTCCATCCTCAAAGATCCCACCCACCCCCAGCACGGACTGTTCAC